CAGTATGCCAACCTCCTACAAAACTTATCAGCGTATTGTAAACAATCCTACTGCATGTTCCAATGAAGATTAGGTTGAAACCAGATGAAACGAAAGTTACGTCCATAACGAAGCCGTGTTCCGGAAGCTGAACAAGCAAACAAGCTATGTGTCAAATGACGAAATTACTCCCTACCTCCATTCACCCAGTCAATCGTCCAAATGAAAGACGAAGATGGCTGTTCGTAATTTCTCTTTGGGCACTTTTTGTGGTTCTTTCGATAGTAGCCCGATTTTCCACCTGAAATACGAAGGTTGTAGTGACCTTACCCAGCCAGCCGACCGGGATTCATCACATTGAAACCTCGTATTAGTTGCCTAGTTCTCCATAGATGACGATTCTTCATTCCGATTTTCCGGTTCCTTGTGGTTTTGCCAGCCTATTCAGAAAGTACAATATGGCCAAAAGACATGGGTACCACGAGAAATAACGTGAGACATTTCATATTAATTGTCACATACTCCTTTTGAGCATTCATCGTAGCTTTCGGGGTATTCGCTTTCTGACGGGTATTCCATCACACAAGTGTCCTGGTTGGTGGAAATCATTTTTCTCAAGGGTTATTACACATAAATTGGTTGTTCTTTTGAATCTAATCTGTTCATTCAGTCGTCAACATGTAGAGCTTATTCTTAACTCGTCCATGAGGTTTTTGCCATATCCCTTCGGCAGAAATAAAACATTGGTTGAACTGGTGTTTCAGAGCAGGCTATTCCTGTTGTATCTAATATGTATTTTGAAGAAAAGCCTACGTGAACAGCATTCAGAGGCCTACTTCCGATCTAGTGTTGCTCCAAGAGTAAAACTTACTTTTCGAATGAACGGGCGAAATCGGTTAGAAGACTTAGAACTACTTTATTGTGAATAATTCCAAAATATAGTGATGTTTTTCACCCTCTTGTGGCGCTGGTATGAACTACATGCACGAATTAACGGAAAATATATGTATATTTGTATATATTTGTATATGAACATGTTCACTATCGCGCATGAGCAGCCGAACAATAGTGCACAGAATGTCACGCTGATAGGCCTGAAAAGTTGGAATTGAACCCATAACAAGTGCTAACTGGTCAGATATAAAGTACTTGATTTTTTTGTTCTTGACTGATAGATGAGAATTTTCAGCCAGTCGGGTTAGTTCTGCTTTCCTCGGATGAATGTAGCCTGTTATTGTGTTGGAGTTTTTTTTCTCAGGCCCTTTCCACAAAAATCTACCTTTTTCGACTTCCGAATTCTGTGTACACTTACTTAAAGTCCGGTACCGTGCTTGATGTTTTCACCACTGGATGTAAATCTCAAATACTTTCTTTGAAGGGCGCCCTAACTTAATCACTATAAGCTGGGTACTTACTTAGTGCAGAATATTTCTACGCCTTTTTGCTACTTACAACAACGAAAGTAGCACGAAAGTAAAACTACATTCTGCGCTCCGGCTTGACTGGCAGCTGGTGAATCTAGGGCGGAGAAACGTCTCAATTCCGACACCACAGCTCCATACCTCGACGTTGTACCAACACTTGCGGTTATTTGCGTTTATGTACAAGGCTAGCCCAGCCGTACCTATGCGCATAAGGTTGTTTCGTGACAAACGCATACCGAAGAACTTGGTCTTACTCCAGATTTCGTCCAATAAAAGCTATCTATACATGAAGCATCGTAACGCCCTCCCTCAAAGTGGCAGCTGTTGTTGGTTTGTTCAACTCAGCAGTCGTGCTATCCGGGTTTGTAGACTGAACAAGACAGATCCATATGACTGCCCAATAGCTGTTGAGAGCATATTTAAACAGTGTCTGAACTGCTGACAAAAGGTAAAACCCCTACACTGCAACCACAAATCGCCTGATAATCCTATTGGGTAACGTGGTTTCAAAACTACCACTTTCCACTGTCACATTATTCTCCCCAATCTATTGCACAACTCAACTTACTCAAAAATCTGTCTTTTCGTGTCGTGAATCTCCCTCAAAACGTTTATGAATATGAACATGGGTCATTTAACCGGTACGTCATACATACTGTATGATGCACGCACAAAAACAGACTCCCTTGGCAGACTGGCCTCAAACATGAAGTCTATGAAGTGGACAGGACGCATTGGAAGATATCAACTCCGAGGAATCAGAATAATCAATCCTCATTCGGTTCATGTGCTTACCAGTATCTGGATCAGGCAACTAGTTGGCGACTTCACACGGTGATTCATTTTCTCAGTTAGGCTCACCTGTTTAGCTAACGCTTCAATAACGCAGGAATCAGAATAATCAATCCTCATTCGGTTCATGTGCTTACCAGTATCTGGATCAGGCAACTAGTTGGCGACTTCACACGGTGATTCATTTTCTCAGTTAGGCTCACCTGTTTAGCTAACGCTTTCAATAACGCAGATAAATTGCTTCTTGGCACTTGTCGTGTTACAAAATTTCGTACTTGGCTACTGATTAATTTAAGTGGAGAATTCATCCTGTGAATAAAGTCAGTCTACGCCAAAAAAACTCCCTCACAGCTGTTTCGGCCTTATTGGGAGCCAGCATTAGTGTGCATCTTACGGATCCCCAGGAAGACTGGAATACTTAACCTCCCAACTGATTCTTGAAGACTAAGTCGTTTGGCCAAGTGAAACTGATCAACCCATCCACACTCATTTGCATTTGGCTTCTTGATATTAAAGGATTGTGTATTTGGGCTGCGGTCCCAACAAGCGTCATTCTGTCCTTGTCGATTACCACGACTGGGAAGAAAAACCTGCGTTATCACCTTTAAAAAATTGGCAAGGGTGGGTCAAACTGAACTATGACTTGCATTAGGAATCTAGTGGAGTTTTCAGTAACCTTATAGCTAATGCGTCACGAATAGTGAATGCATTTGTGAATTAGTTTGAATGGAATAATCACTTTTCAGCATGGTGAATCAGTCAGAGACCGATAGGGAGAGGCTACGACACAAAATCTGGCGAAAGAAACACGACTATTGATTTTGATCTGATCTCAGATAAAAGTCTACATGAAGGCCAGACTGAATAGCCCCTCTTAAGTTGCCGGTCGTAGATGTGGTGCTTTTCATGGAAAATTTGATCCACAGGAAAGAGTCTCCTGCTGATTAAATACTGAAGGTCCACACCGAGAGTGGGCAATTTTTTATCCTGTTTCATTCCACCGCAGGTCCAATGAGTACCCACTATATGCGATATCAAGTTTGACTGCTGTGCAGCTGTACAGCTGGCAGTCAACAACCTTGTGGAGTGAGTCATTATAAAAGAATCATAGAAATAAGTTCAAGTCGAAACGTCCTGCGACCTTTCTGTCTGCAGTTCGCACATTTATAGGTATACTACTGATGTCCAAAATCCCTTCAAGTTGAGTTGATCATGTTGAAATAACACTTCCTTAGAGTTAAATTGGGATAGTATTATAGCCATGACTCTTCATTCGATAATGACGCAAACCCGGAATTCACTGTCGTCCTACTGGTTTTGGTCTAAGAACCAAAGGTGCTATTGACCGCAAGGCGCACTTCTGAATGAAGCTCAATGACTGACCATAACAATCGCGCCTAGAAAGTGATATCTATGAGAATTCTACAAATTTCACGGCCAGCAACAACAGGTCATTACTGAGCTGACGGGACGGAGTAAAATATAAACCTTCTCTTCATCTGACAAGTTACTGAAGCGTCTGGAGCCGTCCTTCAGGTGTATCACGAAATCGATCACGAGAATTGACATCCACGTTGGATGCTCTATTTGGATAAATATGGTCAACCGAATGGTAACCGCGGGGCGGCTTTAGATGCAGATCTATCCAGTTTATTTCACATTCCAAAGACACGAACCAAGCAGCGCCCATCTTAACTTACCCCATTTGTCTTGGGTATGCATCTGACGGGAAAACTCGGTTCAAAAGCCCAGGAGACAGGTAGTACGTTAGAAGAACTGATCACACAGATAGCACCCGAGTATACCTAAACGTTAAGTAGTTTTGCTTCGGGTAAAATCGTGAATAAGCCTGTGGTTTTTCGAAGCACTTCGTCAAACAGGGTGGTTATGTCGGTGCATTGTTCACATTGAAAACAACGATTGACAAAGACAGTTCATACAATAAATCCCTAAAGGATGACACCCAAGTCAAAAGGACTTGCTGGGTTTTACTGTGGTGTGGATGCTTCACACATTAAAAGTCGGTACACCAAACCCTAAGAGGATTGCATGAAGCTTAAACTTCCGGGGCGCTCAACAACCCGTTGCTTGTGTCAATCAACAGGCCATTGTCATCAGTTGCACCACAACCTACTTTGGCATCACTTTTAGAGGTTTCTTAAGAGATCTCCACTCATATCGCACTTCATCTTAGTGCATCATCATCAGTTTGCTACTGATTGGTGATTAGAGTTGGTAGGATCAACCAAAGGTCACCTTCATTGTTGTTGGTACTCAACACTCCGTTTCCTTACACTGCCCAACTACCAGTACTTTGCAATGCAATCTAACCTGTCCCGACCTATGTTACTCATAAAGACGCACGTGATAATACCGTAGGTCACTAAAAGTCAGTAACGAAAACATTTGTACTAATCACGTCTCAACGAGTACACGGCAGCTGTTCCCCTTAAAGACATCCTGAGGAGGGTTGACCACAAAAGAAGACATCAATAGACCTATCAGAAGTGATTTTCTCTGACAGCAGTGTCGTCACAGGGATGGAGGGAAAACGTAACTGATTCTCTTGTGCTGCAAAGGTTAGCAATCCTGGTGTACTACAGTCGAAACTCGCTCAGATTATCCGGGTTATTCGTTATTCGTACGTTGGCTTGATTAGGCCATGAGCTCTGAATATCAGAATTGAAACAAATTTAGGTTAGTTAAGGATGTGGAGTGGCGGCGAAGTATGAAAGATCCTGCAGAAAGGCACACTAGGAGTGGGATACACCAAGTTCATTTAGCCGATACATCACAATATCGTACAGAAGCTCCACATTCAGCAAAAACTGGATCATTGCACCCCGGTCTCTTGGAAAAGTCTACGATGAAGCAATCGTCTTCTTCAGCTGTAAGCCGCGTGCATGCTGTATGGTGTTTATAGCTGTCACTTTTGTTTGTAGATGATCTGGGAATATAGGAGTAGATAGCCACATAGTGGAGATAGTAAATGAGATGCCCAACGTGAGAATCCAGGAATGACAGTGGAATGATAGCATCAGTGAATGGTTGCTTCTTAGTCATTGCGTGTCCACCTACCAACTTCGGAAACTAAACGGATAGACGATAAGCCCATTTCCGGAAAAATCGTTTACGCCCAATCAGCTCCATGTGGAAACGACACATGAGTGGTAAGCAGCTTTACAGTAAAGCGTGATGCATCAGCGATATACGACATTCGAACAAGAGTTCTTGTTTGGTACCACTGGGTTACGTACAACCAGATTCTATGGGCATAGAAACGATGGAGTCTAGCAGACAAATGTCCTTGTATGTAGCACGCAGTCTTCATTCCAGTCTTCTCAGACCATCGCACTATAAGAATGAAATAGGGTGAACTTATATGGACCTGCTACGTCGGTAAGTCTGTTTCAAGTAGTTCAACTATAGAGCAATAGAACAAGAAGGTCCAGTATATCATAACACCAGAAATGATCTTTTTTCGCACCATCCGCGAAGCAGAGTACAAAGGGATTGGAGGCGGGGAACCGGATGAAAAATAAGGAATCAGTAAAGTCAGTCATCGCCGTCTGAGGCACCGTCAACATCTTCGCCGTCCTCATCTTCATCTTCATCCCCTTCGGCCTCTTCATCGTTATCTTCATCCCCGGAAACTTCGCGATTCGCTTCTTCCAATTCAGCCATATGTCGGCGCAAATCAGCTTCATCGGTGTCTGATACAAGTCGTGGCTGAAAAGAAAAATGAAGACTTTCCCAAACCACTAAACTCAAGGTTTCGGTATACAAATGTCAAATGAAAATTATCGGTTAAAATGCCCTTCATAAACAATAGGCTGTTGGACTGCCACCACAACTGAGAAGTCAGAAGTAGGAGTCAACCATAAGCCTTCTAGATCAGGTGTCTAATCTTGACCTTCGCTCGAAATCTAAAGAACCCTATGCACCATATTACTAGGACATCCAAATGAAAAGCCGAAAGGCAAAGAATTAATTCACGATCATTAGATCACGATAGACCAAACTACCGCATTTCCTGAACATCAATGAGACATAGAAACAACTCAGAAGAGAAGAAACTATGGAGAAGATTGTTGGCCTTCTTCGGGGGAGGGATCGCACTAAATTGTGGCTTACGGGGGATGTTCTTGCAGTCTCTTGGAGAATATCCTCTTGAAAGAGAATAACGTATACATGACTCGTAAAAATGCAAACCAAGTCGGATTAGGACGCTGTCTGCATTGTGGTGGGAAGGTTGTTTAGAGTAGCTGCTAATAGGTGCAACAAACAGTACCCAAATCATTTATACAGCCAAACATTATCCAATGTCAAGTTTTTTTGCAACTGCCAGCACCATCGCCACCGCTGCTATGAAGGATCTCCCGGTTTCTCTCCTATCAAACTAACAGCTTTCTCATCCATGGACACAGGTCACAATTGGCGAAAAACGATAGTAAAGAGAATCTGAAATGGCACAGGAAACGACTACGTGTTGGTTATGCCTATGGTGCTAGAATGGTAAGCCCCTCCACCGACTGGCAATTATAGTGGGGATCACATGCAAAACCATGCGGTTCTAGTTCGAACAATCCTCCTAAATGATCAGGAACACAATGAAGGGAACTCTTGGTGGACGCTGATTTACCAGGCGACCGAGTCAACAGAATTGCGAAACCAACAGGCTCATTCAGGCACATCAACCCAAAAGCAACTGGGAAAATATCCGAGACGAATTTAAGGCTCGGGTAACCAGGTAACAGAGTAGACGAAAGATGAAATGTCCTCTGTGTAACGACCAGCTCTGTAATGATCTAATCTCCGAAGTGATTGTATTGTTCATAGATAAGTAAATCAGTGTCTGGTATGACGAAACTATTTGCATGGCGAATGTGGTGAACACCACGTGACAGGATGCTAAGATGCCAAACGGTCCGCGAGATCCTGGAATGGCCATTGGGCAGGGCAGAAGTAGACTGCTAGTAAAATTCTTCTGCTTACACAAGCCTAGACCATAAACGTGGATAGCAACTGCTTGTTGTGCCTAGATTTCCTAAATTTTCGTGTCGGTGTGACGTGGAAGTAGTATCCAACTCAACTCCGTGATTTCAAGCCATCAAATAGCCGCTTCTCGAGCTTTGCCTTTCATTATTCAGACCAGCAGATGTCCTCATACGCGCTTGATGAGTTGTCTCATAGATCCATCAATGTATAAATCCGAACACATGCACTGGAATCCACACAGATACGAACGTCGTCATCTGAGGCAACCTGTCCTTGAGTTATTGAACGATTGGCAGCCGGCTAGTGAACGAAGTCCTCACTTTGTTCTCATTGAAAGTGGCTGTAATGGTGTCAGTTATGCGGCTGGTATAGATAAATCGGTGAAAAATGAAGACTGCTGAATACACCTCTTTTGAAGACCGTCACAGCCAATCGCGAAAGAAGCATTATCTCCTCCCAAGTTTCTTAGATGACCTCTATTATACACTTACTTGAGTGAATCTAGCGTCGGGTAGAGAATCACTTTAGTAGATTTTGTGCGCTCTTGGAGCTAGTCATTTTACCAAGTTCTGCTTCCTTCGCCATGGAGCAGTACTGGAGAAGTTAAAGTGCTGGCCGATTCAGGCAGACTTTGGTGGAGTGTACGGCGGTCGCACGATTATTCAAGTTTCACCACTCTGACCACGATGAGGCGCATGCCTTATTAAGGGGAGTATGCTTTGTCGTCCATGTGTGTCCACAGGACACATTCAAGACATCCAATGATTTTAACCTATCAGAACATGAGGCTTCCATTAGTCGAATGTCACATTACATACGTAGTGATGCAGTACCTTCATATGGATGGGTAAGGATAAGGGAGATGTCAGCAAATCAGGGCAACACAGCAACATTAAGACCTCCACTTTTAAACCTTGTTACAAGCACAAGACAAACCTGCACCACGTCCTGTCTGGGGTGCGACAAGATACTCGCCACCGTCATTCTATGTGCACCACGCAGTGTAGAGTTTCCAGCCTTACGAGGAGAGAATAGCGTAGACCAGAATCGCAGACACATTGCCGGGATTTAACTAGCAACCAATCCCTTTCAAGTAACCGTCCTACGCTACGGTTTTCTCTACGAATATCAGTACCAGTGGAAAACGGGAGGTTATCTGCCAGTTGTTCGGAATAAAACGCTGGGAGATGAGTGGAACTTGAACCTGCAACCTTTCGCAAAAACGAAACGAGGTGTTTGTGTAGTGAGAGTATAAACGAGTGTTTTCGATATAGCCTACAAAACTCATGGTGCTAACTATCTGCAAGTCAAGCTAGAAAAGCGGAAGTCTATGAGCTTATGTTCCAGTCAAGACAAGAGAGATGTATCACTTTGAACGGAAAACGAAACGACAGTCATTATTCGCGACTGTTCACTATAAGCTATAAACCATGCCCTAGACTTCTGTGACGAAATCCTAGTTAGGTTGTCTTTGTTTTTATTGTCGACACAAAGATATAACAGTAGTTTGACGGCACTGAGGTCACCTATCTCCACTATTTCTTTGGCACCGTGAACAAAAGTGAAGTTTGGCAATCAGCCCATTTTCTGAATAGGAAAGTCCTAACGCAACCATTTTGCTTACCGCCTGTTGTATTTTGAAAGAACCGCCTTGGCTTTCGATGGAGGTCCTTATGGTCTCCAGTATCTTGTTCAGGTGCTCCAATCCCTCTGCCCACTCCATCGTCTGCGCTGTAAGAACGTACAGTGGTGGAGCGATCAAGTTGATCTGAAAGAAAAGATGCGATTCCCGGTCAACAGAAAAAAACAGACTCTTGAGCAAATATATGGTTCCTCTGTTATATTGTTCGTGAAATTTATTTAGATGGAGCACTATTTATGCTGCCGACGAAACATGGGGTAGTCAGGAGTGTGAAAGGAGGTACCAAAAGTGAATGAGTGAATGTGAGCTTCATGAGATAAACAGTGCTTCTAATTCCAAATAGGGACGAAACAACTGCACAGTGTTTCTCGGCTTTTCACCATAGACTGGCCTCACTGACTGGACGAAATATCAATTGAAAATTATCAAACCTTCTCAAAACACCATCAACCTATTGAACGATCGACCAGAAGCCAACGATTTAAACAAGCGATTTTCAGAACAGCAGCACTGAAAGTATGCAAAGATAGATTCGATTATGAAGTTACCTGTCCATCTCGCATAATTGCCATTAAAAAGCGTAAAAGTCTGAAAACGAATGACGATTTATTTAGAGATGAGTGGCCATGGTTCACCGTCCCACTTGGCGATCCGCTCTTACAAATGCTTGAAAAAAACCTGTGACCAAACCCAAGGTCTTGGACGACGATGTGAGCTGTCTACCACTGAAAGTGTGACCTATTTTCGCGTGCATGCACCTGAAGACAAAGAGAGCATGCGGAGTGGCGATACTGCAGTAGATAACAGCGCCGATAGACTGTTGATTCAAGTCAAGATATATTGCACATCAATGCCACAGGCATGGTAGCTCATTAAAATAGACGTAATACTCACACCTCTAAATTGAAAATCTATGGTAGCTTGAGTGTCAGTAAACTCCCATGCTTTTAACTATCTAACTTATACTTGAGCAGAAACCTGTCTCAAAACTTTCTGGAGAAAAAGCGCGTTCGGTCCTATCTGAAAGGTGGTAGTAACTCAAGGGAAACAATACTGGAACGGCTAATCTCTTAAACGGCTGTACGACCGCACTAGACAGTCATGGAAGTGAGTGAAAAATTTATGATTGAAGGTTTTATACGTCTAGGCTTTGTCTTGTAATAAACTTTTTGTGACGTTTTTGAGATTGGGTGGACGAAGACTTGGACAAATGAAGTAACTAACTCGAATAGGTAGCTCTTCCGAGTTAAGTTCCAAACCAGCTCGCAGAGCACGCCTCACGGCATCAATCCCTTCGAAAGTGAAACAAGATACTTCAAAGTCCGCACGAATTTTCATTGCTTGTGGCATGAGCCGGTGGCGGATATTGCTGATGAGGACCTCGCGTGTATGCTCGTCTATATCGCATTCGTCCAATATGCTGGGAGTACTACAAACAATGCAATAAGAGAAGAGAAATCACGGGATTCAGACAGCGGGAAACACCAACTCAAGTGAATAGGATTTAGACAAGACACAAAAAAAAGTAACCATCCAGAAACCTTAGCAATTATGCCGAAAGTGCTGGATTAGCTGCAACCAAAAATCAGTTTACATGTTATCGATAACATGCCAGATAAATCGATTCTGTCAGCCGTTACCGTAATTCAAAACCCAAACGGAACATCAAACTACTTTCATGCCTGTTATATCTTTTACGTGCGCGGAAGTAAGCAACACACCACAAAAAGTACAGTACGAACCTAAACGAAAATTTTGGTTGGTCCCTGCAGATTAGAGTAATACCATGCAAAACGTGGCTTGTGGAGGAAGAAAAGACCAGTTCTCAGATACCCCGTGTATAAAATGGCAATAGGAAACTAGCAATCTTTGAAAAAGGAAAATTTCGAAGAGGTATGTTACGATACAAGTTGATACGGATCTTGAAAGATTCAAAGCCCTAAGGGTATATAAAAAGTTGAAGAGTTCGGTAACAGGTGGAGGCGGAAAGGTCATTTCGACGAGGGGAAGGGGAGGAATGGATGGGACAGGAAAGGCGAGTGAAAATGCTGGAAGCGCGAGGAAGAGGACCAACAAAGGCTATTACGGAAGAGCACAGTATATTTAAGCTAAAGACGCTACGCCTCGACGAAGGAATAGAGCGAATCAGTCAAGGAGAGAGCCGAACAAGCACAAAAAAGAAAGATAAGCCCCCTAGACATGACGATATTCCAGGATCCGAAAAATCTAAGGTTGTAAAAAGCAGTTTCGAGATTGGAAGAGAAAGCGTACTTTCCCAGAAACGTTCTTAAGAGAATTTTACACGGACAGATGAGAAGCGGCTGCAGAAGTTAGACCAAACACAGTGAAAGGAAGGGAATGTTGTGAAGTTGGGGCGTGTAAAGAGCTGCAAATAAAAAAACGGAGGGGAAAAGGGATAGAAGACTTGGATGGGTCAAATGCGGTTGTGACAGGTGACCCCAACTCAGCAGCTTTATAAAAAAAAACTGGCAACCAGGATGCAGACTATACCCGAGTGTTATAAATTCACAGGAAGGCAAAGCTTTGGGATACGTAATAAGTGAAACAAAGAGGACTGGCATTATCATCAAGTGCACAAATGTTGGAGGCGCCAGGAAAGAGATTTTTGATAGTGTAAACATACACCGTGGAATATAGCCAATATCTCAAGGACTTGTGCAGTGGAGGAGGAGGAGGACTCTATCCAAACATACATATAGCGTACGATTCTCGAGGAAGCTATCGGTTAAGTTTGCCAAGTTTTAGTGCCTTCCCGACCTAGTCCAAGGACTTAGAAATATCTGGTTACCAGTTCGGTTTAACAGGTGTTCAGAAACGATACGTCAGTGGATCATCCATAGAGTGGTTACGCCTGAACCCGTATTGCAGAACTCAGGAGAATGCCATCTACAGAAACACACCGTGAAGCAATATACCAGACTACTAGAAAATTATGAGGGGTAATTTGAAACGCGAATTCCATGGATATGAGCAAAAAACCGACGAATACCCTACCCAATTGTCGGAAAAATACTGGCAGGAAATATGTCAAGAAGGGTCGAAGGACGTGAGATGAAAACACATGGTAAAACAACAGTCAGAAGAGCCCAGTGAAAAGAGAAGACATGAGGGAATAAAGTCCTTCCTCCGAGGAAGGACGAGTTAGAAAAGGTCTACCCTGAAAACTGCACGTTTCGATCACTCAACAGTTCACGGTGACCACCGTCGCATTAGTCAATACGTCGAAATGCTCTTAAAAGAGTCCGGTAATAATAAAAAGGTACCTTCCGTGCGCAGCGCCATTAGGGGAGAGACAACACTATCATACTCCCTGATGTATCTTGGGGCCAGGCCGGCCCCTGCAGCCAGGTGGGTCAGACTATTGAGTCATTGGATCTGGGAAGAGTCTCCCAAGAAAACTCTAGAGACCGCTGCCGCTCGGTCCAGACCTTTGAGTAAGAAGCTAGGGTAGGGTCACGGAACAAAACCCTACATTATTCTTCTGCCTTGTGGGTCAGACTTTTGAGTCAAAGGCTCAATGGAGGGTACCTCAACCGAACCCAATTATTCGGCCCGGGCAACCTGAAAGGATCATCTGCCTTTGCAGCTCTTCGCTTATTAGCCTCCTAACCATTGTTCTGTTTGAATCGTCACACAGCAAAGTAGACCAACAGATCTGATCCACGTTGCAGCCTTTAATGTCCGTATTCTATGTCAATCCAACAAGAGGTATCTCTTGCTGAAACCTTGCTTTTACTCTGTATCGATATATGTTGAGTCTCCGAAACATGCATACAAGACCCCAATTCGGTCGTGTGCTTCAAGCCGCTTAGGACGAGCTCAGATGTTCCACATTTCACTCTTCGGGTATCTGGTGGTCCTGACGTAATGACTCGTGATATCTATTGTGTGTGTTGCACTCAGCCCCAAGGCTGAAAGCGCCTTCCTGGACTGGATCCAGTAAACAGTCGCCTTTGTGCTGTGCGGATGTCTGGCTCAATAAAGATCAATGCAGGTCGACGCGGTAAACGGCGTTCACTTGTTGCATCAGCACACGCCCCGACAGACTGCAGTTCTGAGAATGAGGACAGGTTTTATCAACATCTGTCACGACTGCTACGGTTTGCGAAAGGGATGGATATAGTAACCCTGGCGGGTGATGGGAACGCCCAAGTTGGACGACTAAGTCCAGAAGTAGATTCGGAGTTGATTTTCAGAGCATGGATAAGTGGGAGCAACTGCTTCAGTTGTGTACTGATCATCGTCTGTTCCTGGACAGTAAGAACTTTCAGCACAAACGTCCACTTCCAGTTAGTTGGAAGCCACCAATCCAAGGCACCCACCCACCAAGACAGTCATGGCCTCAACTGGACCATGTGGTTAGCAGTTACCGATGGAGAGCCTCAATTAAAGAAAACGGCTCCGGGAGATGGCTGGCTCAGTGGTTAGAAGGCAGAATTACCGACATGAAGGTCTAGGGTTCGAACACGACCTCTGCTCCTCGATTTCTCCTATCTAGGCCTGGGCAACCTGGCACTATCCCAGGCCTTGTGCTCCCTCCTGGTGACACTGCAGTTAGGCGCCGAAAGAATTCCACAGCTGAACGATTTNCTGGACAGTAAGAACTTTCAGCACAAACGTCCACTTCCAGTTAGTTGGAAGCCACCAATCCAAGGCACCCACCCACCAAGACAGTCATGGCCTCAACTGGACCATGTGGTTAGCAGTTACCGATGGAGAGCCTCAATTAAGGAAAACGGCTCCTTCTGGGAGATGGCTCAGTGGTTAGAAGGCAGAATTACCGACATGAAGGTCTAGGGTTCGAACACGACCTCTGCTCCTCGATTTCTCCTATCTAGGCCTGGGCAACCTGGCACTATCCCAGGCCTTGTGCTCCCTCCTGGTGACACTGCAGTTAGGCGCCGAAAGAATCCCACAGCTGAACGATTTCTTCCTTCTGGGGTACGCAAACTGACTCCGATCATGCCATTATATGGACTGGGCTATCATTTCGCTTTCCGTCAGCATTACGCGTGCCGAAGCATGGCAACTCCGTTCAGTAACTTACCAAGCTGTTATAGAAGAGAATGTTGGTAGCTCAGGTAGCGTAGAAGGTCAGTGGCACAACCACCGACCCGTCGCTACGCTCCAATACACTCCCTAACACTGTACTAATGATGTCACCTCGATTAGTGATGAAACCCCTGTCTAGGCTTGGGCAACCTGGCAGTATCCCAGCCCTCGTGCTTCCTCCGGGTGGCACGGCAGCTAGGCACCGGAAAGGTGTTATAGCTGAACGATTTAGTGATGAAACGTCTGTAATCAAATTGCCCAGCTCAGCGAACAAACCAACAAGCATCTATTACCAAGCTGATTTGGTTGGAAAGCTACTGAAAACACACAGTCATGCTGATAACGAAGAATGTTTGGAGGTTAGATGGAAGGGGCTTAAAGAAGCTATGCTCTCAGCTTTCAGAATTATTTGCCTAAGTCATCCGACTCGACTAAATGAACACTGCATGTTGTCAAGTTCAATGGGTCTTTTGTTGCTAGAAAGGCAGTACCGGCAACCAGAAACTGTGGTGGTGCCCGCAGATCCCTCAAACCGGACAATGATATTCATTCAGCTGTAGCTGCCATGCCACCCAAAGGAAGCACGAGGGCTGGGATACTCTCAGGTTGCCCAAGTCTAAACAGGGGAAGTCGAGATGCAGAGGTCGGGTTCGAACCACGGAACTTCGCGCTCTAGCCACTGAGCCATCTGACCCCCCAAATACCGAACAATCAAGAGCCTGAATGACAAGACGCTGCTGAATTGCGAAGGCCCAAGAAATGGAGAAGACTTTTGCTGATGACGTCCAGCTGAACAGTCTGATGACCATGCTTCAGAAGGTTTGGGACGACAAGAGAATACCCTCTACCGTCTTTTTGGTCTCCAAAAGTGCACGAGAACGTCATACGAAAATCATCGTGGAATCAGCCTGGTATCCGTCGCATCTAAGGCGTCCTTTGACAATTTTATGCGGGTTGATTGATTGTCAGGAGACAGGTTCGTGGATTTCACCCAGGTCGAAGATTCATCGACCACATCTTTACCTTCAGACAAGTTCTTGGTCAACGTCACTCTCAGAAGTCTCATGGTAGACATTGTTCTTGATCTGGAAGCTGTTTGTGACTCTAGAGATCTTCAGAAACTTTGGCGGCATCTGCCGATCAAGGATGCATCTTCCTTCTATCCTTTATAAGGGCACTGTATCCGAACTCCTATGGACAAGTATGCGTACAAGACAAGCTTCCGCCCGGGTTCACCATCTCCAGTGGTGTGGGACAACGCCGCCTTCATTCGCCTTTCCCTTTTAAATTTTTCATTGGTGTACTGCTTGGAATTTTCCCTGCCTACCTTTGAGACCTCGCGAGTCGAAAGAGTCCTGGGAAGTTCACCCACAAGCATTGAGTACACGGACGATGTTGCTTTTAAGAATGCAAACAACTTCGAATGACCAAAATAATTCTGCCACGAGGTTTCGCACGCGCTTTAACCTACGAAGTGGAAAATGCTCACCTGCACAATAGATGACGACAATGGCAGAAATGGTCTCACATGCAGTCAGTAGCGCCCGTGAATCAAAGTTATCACCTTCAATACATACCTACCCAGCTCCCGAACTAGCTGAGAAAGCCTTCGCCTCCAATGCAAGGTTGAATGTCCCACACTATCACATATTCCGGAAATTGATGATGTAGCACAGGGAACCACGGTTTGTGAAGGATGGATTGAAGTGAAATGATTTTTTGCAGCACCTTACTGCAAGTTTTAATTTCCATTTACACTCAATTTCTGCTGCCCTCCCAAAGGGTAAACTTAGACAACACGGATGAGACATCCAAAGAGCATCAGCGCATTGTTTTATTTCGAACCCTTCAACATGAAGGAGAAAGGCAGTACCGGCAACCAGAAACTGTGGTGGTGCCCGCAGATCCCTCAAACCGGACAATGATATTCATTCAGCTGTAGCTGCCATGCCACCCAAAGGAAGCACGAGGGCTGGGATACTCTCAGGTTGCCCAAGTCTAAACAGGGTCGATCGAGATGCAGAGGTCGGGTTCGAACCACGGAACTTCGCGCTCTAGCCACTGAGCCATCTGACCCCCCAAATACCGAACAAGAGCCTGAATGCTTCGCGCTCTAGCCACTGAGCCATCTGACCCCCCAAATACCGAACAATCAAGAGCCTGAATGACAAGACGCTGCTGAATTGCGAAGGCCCAAGAAATGGAGAAGACTTTTGCTGATGACGTCCAGCTGAACAGTCTGATGACCATGCTTCAGAAGGTTTGGGACGACAAGAGAATACCCTCTACCGTCTTTTTGGTCTCCAAAAGTGCACGAGAACGTCATACGAAAATCATCGTGGAATCAGCCTGGTATCCGTCGCATCTAAGGCGTCCTTTGACAATTTTATGCGGGTTGATTGATTGTCAGGAGACAGGTTCGTGGATTTCACCCAGGTCGAAGATTCATCGACCACATCTTTACCTTCAGACAAGTTCTTGGTCAACGTCACTCTCAGAAGTCTCATGGTAGACATTGTTCTTGATCTGGAAGCTGTTTGTGACTCTAGAGATCTTCAGAAACTTTGGCGGCATCTGCCGATCAAGGATGCATCTTCCTTCTATCCTTTATAAGGGCACTGTATCCGAACTCCTATGGACAAGTATGCGTACAAGACAAGCTTCCGCCCGGGTTCACCATCTCCAGTGGTGTGGGACAACGCCGCCTTCATTCGCCTTTCCCTTTTAAATTTTTCATTGGTGTACTGCTTGGAATTTTCCCTGCCTACCTTTGAGACCTCGCGAGTCGAAAGAGTCCTGGGAAGTTCACCCACAAGCATTGAGTACACGGACGATGTTGCTTTTAAGAATGCAAACAACTTCGAATGACCAAAATAATTCTGCCACGAGGTTTCGCACGCGCTTTAACCTACGAAGTGGAAAATGCTCACCTGCACAATAGATGACGACAATGGCAGAAATGGTCTCACATGCAGTCAGTAGCGCCCGTGAATCAAAGTTATCACCTTCAATACATACCTACCCAGCTCCCGAACTAGCTGAGAAAGCCTTCGCCTCCAATGCAAGGTTGAATGTCCCACACTATCACATATTCCGGAAATTGATGATGTAGCACAGGGAACCACGGTTTGTGAAGGATGGATTGAAGTGAAATGATTTTTTGCAGCACCTTACTGCAAGTTTTAATTTCCATTTACACTCAATTTCTGCTGCCCTCCCAAAGGGTAAACTTAGACAACACGGATGAGACATCCAAAGAGCATCAGCGCATTGTTTTATTTCGAACCCTTCAACATGAAGGTCCGGTATGCGACGTCAATATTCCAGAGCAAGAGACCAAGTAGCTGCCCGTGATAAAGTTTCTCAATTCCATCGCCGATGTGCTGTGCCGGTATACTCAGCATTTAATGAACGAGTAGTGGCCTAGCTGCCAAACTTTATGGTTGACTAGAAGTCAACTGCACTTAAGGTGTACATTCTAGCAACCGAAAAATATTGAGCCTACTGTTGATGCAGCATTGTTATTTCAATACAGCAAAGCCACACGTAGACAACTCCACGGGAATTTTTCGTTATTATTGTTTCCCTGAAGCTTGGACGCCTCTTCAGAACCAAACAAACCAAAAACGAATTATCACCGTTAGTATCTACAACTGCTCAGACACAAGCCAAGCAAAAATGCAGACCAACCGATGAAAGGTGAGATACTAAATGACTGGTCGTAATTGCTGGTGCCCCTGGCATCGCATTATGAACCCATAAATCCTATTAACACGGCACCATGTCATGAGACACCACGGCAGGTGAAGCCGGCTGGATTGATCTGTGCGTCAAGCATGCCACAAAAACATCAAACAAATCTGCAGCAGACTCGTCGCACTTAGTCCATGGTTTCATCGCTAAGAAATGTGGCATAAAACCATGCTGTCTGGTGCACTTCCCAATCACAACAGATCCTAGATGGACGTCAAACACGACTACACACTAACACAATCAAAACTTAATATCTCTAGGTTACACTCAACAATATAAGTGAACTTACTTTACAACGCGTTTGAAGACGTCATACGAGGCCGCCCGCTTCCCCATTTTATTATCGAAGTACCAAGCGGTCTTTTTGCACAGTTCCTCAAGCTGCTCATCCGTCTCGTAACCCAACTTCTCTGCAGTGTGCCGAAGAATCTGATTCACCTGATTAAAGCACAATAATGTAATTTAGCTAGTGATTCGCTTACCGCTTTGGCCTTTGCGAATTTCTCTTGACATTTGGCTACTTCTTCTGAAGAAACTCTGCGCTTCGACAAATCGATATAACCTGGACTTGGGTGATTAAGAGGAAACATTATAAACCTTTTTCGCTATCCACCCTAATTACCATTACAACTGTAGTTCTTCCAACCCTAACCAGTTTATTAATCGACCGGATACGACGGCGAGATAACTCGCTGTGGAGGATCATGCCCCCGATATTTTTGTACTCCAACAGCTCAACATAGCTCCCCATGGTCTGTATGGACGTTATATTCACAACCACGACATCATCTTTCTCTGGGTAGAGATTCTCGTAAAACCTACACTGCAATGGCATGGTCTCTGAATGAACTATTGGCAAAAGAGTGGTTTGGGGTCTCAGCAAGCAACCCAGAAGAATCTCGATCACTGATTGGTCCATGGCTCATCAAGCGATACGGTCATCACGGGATCCATTACCGGTGAAGCGTCAAATTCAGGTTGATTAACTGGACTGCCGAGTGACTAGTGCAGTGGGTGGCAAAGGAAAAACTCAACAGCGACTTCATAAAGAAGTATTTTCAAATCTATTTAATGCACCCTAAGATCAAAAAGCTCCAGCGAACTTGTGCTTGTAGGAGGCACAGACTTATAGACCAGAATCATGTAAATGGGTTGAGACGAAATGGGACTGGTGGTTATGGTTGAGCACGCAGCCTTATGAAGTCGAGCGTTAATTTTGGTCGTGTGCGTACACGGGCATCCTCACCTAGGCAAGAAGTGGAAGCCAGTGAATAGGAATAGGAGTAGCATCCTGCATGAGAATGAACACACGTGAATCGGTCTTCACTGCACGGATAAAGTAACACAGGAAGTTCCCAATGAAATAAGTTCTTGTAATTATTGACCGTAGAAGCTGGGAGATTGTTCGGAAAGGGACAGCTGCCAAATAAATAAAGTAGTATTCGTGGAGGCAATTAACAGCTGGAAGTGAAGCCCGCGTGAATAGCCGTACATAACTGAAGGTCCAGTGGCTAGGGGTAGAAAATCGAGCATGAGAATCAGTTTGGAAAAAATTACAAGGGTATACAGTTTATCCAAAAATGTGGCAATTTTCAACTGGAGGGTTCGGATGAGGCAGCTGCTCGGGATGTGAAATTATTTTAATGGTTTTCTACTGAGCACTCTCAATTGTATTTTATTGCACCTAAACCAGAGGAAAGGCGGTTGCGAGATTCCCCAGGAAGGGAATGAGAAGTCAAAGTCAAGGTCAATAGTTACCGAGAAAATTGCGCTACGCAACAATCGCGTATGTAGAGCAGAATAACAGCTCTTCTGATTATATCTAAGCAGAATAGAAGCACTTCATTTGGATACCAGGATTTTTATGCCTCGGTGCCATAAAAGTAGGATGCTTAGGAAAATTTAGAACCCTCGAGTATCGGGAGGCTTGGAAATTCCCAGTGGAGATTTCTTTCCACAAGAGCCGCTAATCTAGGTTGAAACCCTGAGAAATCGTGCAGGGCTGCAGCATTATTAACAGGAATGGGCATTAGCACACACCCTGTGAAATTCAGACTAATAAGTTGACAACTGGAACGCTGGACACGGGAGACTGATTAGCCAGCCTATCGGACAGTCGCAGCACTGTTGCTTAAAAGCCATACATTTCGAGCTTGCGAAGTGTCGCAATATGAGGGGCTCAATCGCAGACTTTCGAGGAGCCAGGAATAATGGTGCACGAAATAAGTTTATCGTTATTTGTTTGGGTCGACCTATACCGAACGTAATCCCGTGCAAGGATCGTGCAGCGAGAATCCATGATGCACGGTAGTATTGGGACTTTGACATCTCGCCGCCCCAAGACACTCTTATTCAGGACACACTTCATCACTCTACACAGTAAGCACTTTAGATCCATGGGCCTATAACCACATCCTGCTAGGTGGTCCCTGGGATTCACGGATCCACCGATCGATACAAAAGATGGAAACTCCCGCACAAGCACACCGGGTCGGGTTTCTTCTTATCGCTCGGATGCTTCTTGTTACCTAAAAGACACGAATGGAAGAAGGTGTTACAATGTTCTTTGAGACCTATGCGGATGAAGTGTTCTTGCCAGCGGGACGGCACACAAAACGCGTCTGAAATTGCTTTTAACTATTTGCTTGGCGCATCAGGAACTGCAATCTGGTGAGGTTTATTCTACGTATTAACTACCCGAAATGAGAACAATTGATGCCTGGTAAAGCCATGCGCTCTTACCTTGAAAGTCTTCTCACCATATCTTCGCTGCATGTCAGTCGGGTCAACGGTGATAAACCTGCTGGCCAAGACTTGTTGGAACAGGGCGCAAAAAGGCATGAGTCCGCTGGAAAGCGAAGACACCCCAGGGGAAGGGACAAGCAACATGAGAACTTCATTTGGATACCAGGATTTTTATGCCTCGGTGCCATAAAAGTAGGATGCTTAGTCAAATTTAGAACCCTCGAGTATCGGGAGGCTTGGAAATTCCCAGTGGAGATTTCTTTCCACAAGAGCCACTAATCTAGGTTGAAACCCTGAGAAATCGTGCAGGGCTGCAGCATTATCAACAGGAATGGGCATTAGCACACACCCTATGAAATTCAGACTAATAAGTTGACAACTGGAACGCTGGACACGGGAGACTGATTAGCCAGCCTATCGAACAGTCGCAGCACTGTTGCTTAAAAGCCATACATTTCGAGCTTGCGAAGTGTCGCAATATGAGGGGCTCAATCGCAGACTTTCGAGGAGCCAGGAATAATGGTGCACGAAATAAGTTTATCGTTATTTGTTTGGGTCGACCTATACCGAACGTAATCCCGTGCAAGGATCGTGCAGCGAGAATCCATGATGCACGGTAGTATTGGGACTTTGACATCTCGCCGCCCCAAGACACTCTTATTCAGGACACACTTCATCACTCTACACAGTAAGCACTTTAGATCCATGGGCCTATAACCACATCCTGCTAGGTGGTCCCTGGGATTCACGGATCCACCGATCGATACAAAAGATGGAAACTCCCGCACAAGCACACCGGGTCGGGTTTCTTCTTATCGCTCGGATGCTTCTTGTTACCTAAAAGACACGAATGGAAGAAGGTGTTACAATGTTCTTTGAGACCTATGCGGATGAAGTGTTCTTGCCAGCGGGACGGCACACAAAACGCGTCTGAAATTGCTTTTAACTATTTGCTTGGCGCATCAGGAACTGCAATCTGGTGAGGTTTATTCTACGTATTAACTACCCGAAATGAGAACAATTGATGCCTGGTAAAGCCATGCGCTCTTACCTTGAAAGTCTTCTCACCATATCTTCGCTGCATGTCAGTCGGGTCAACGGTGATAAACCTGCTGGCCAAGACTTGTTGGAACAGGGCGCAAAAAGGCATGAGTCCGCTGGAAAGCGAAGACACCCCAGGGGAAGGGACAAGCAACATGAGACACGGGTTTAAGGCCAGTAGCCATTGTCGCAGAACGTTAAGCACGCTCAACTGTGGTTGTATCATTCTTTCGTTTTGAGTAGATAACTTAAACGGTATATTCAAAAACCTGTTCCATAGAGCGTCTGGAAGTCCACGCGAGAAACACGCAAGAATGTGTGCCTGATCATCCATGGAAGGAGACTAACTTTTGAGCCTATTTTCAATGGTGCAGTAGGAAAGACAATTTTGGATAGAACCGGACACATTAATTTTCTTCGGTATCTATCCTCGTAATATCTGGTGCATTCTCACCAGGCATGCAAAAGGGTTTGCTGTGTCCCACCCACGTACGATATGGTCGAATTTTCCATAATTCCAAGAGAAATGAAAGTTCGGCGACCACTGCTTTCCGGTGGGCACAAGCGTCTAAACTCCAGGATTTCAAGTCTCTCGCAGAACGCCTGGGCTTATGTAGNCAGGAATGGTCTAAGAACGGACTGTTAGGAACTCCAGCGGAGACCGCCGACGAAGAAGAGTAGGTCAAGCCTAATTCACGCAGAATGCTCTGTCTTATAGGAACCCCTAATCCAACGTACAATGCTTCATTGAATTCCATAACATTTGAGCTTATGGAGCAGCCGAAAGTATGGGCACTCGCTCGAATGCTGTTCAGAATTCGAAAAGGGTCATCCGATATGGGTCTTCCGTCCTTTGCTGGGGCCCATATATATACTATATGCTGCATATATATATGTTTATATATGCATACGTTTATACATATGTGTATGTATGTAAATAAATATATACTATATGCACTGCATACTACGCTACATACTGTATGCTATATTAAGCGTGTAAGAACGGATTGGGGTGAACGCAGGTCGCGACGGGGACATAAATTTGTTGGTTGTGAGGTGACTTACGATGGTCCACCTCAGAATTCTTTATATTACCTTGTACGGTATGGTAGTGACTCTAATAGGCTTGTAGCTGCGAGCGATAGGCGGCCACTTGTTTCGTAAGCTAGCGTGATAATCACTTCCTTCCAAGCAGAGTGAAGGCCGCCTTCGTCGAGTGGCTGATGAAACATCAGGTAGAGTTTCTTTGCTAGTACGACCGACGTTTCCTTGAGGACCCTTGGAGGGACCTCAACTGACTCAACGCTCTCGAATGGTTTGTCTTGCGCAAGAGTTAACGAACATCTTCCTCCGTGAGAACTAAACTGGTTGGGGACCCCTACTAGATATCTTGTGAGATTTGGGTCTAATGGAGCCGCTGGGGATGAATACAGTCCTGCATAATATTCTCTGCATGTTTCAGACAGGTCACTGAAGCACTCATGGTTTACCCCAGTTCTGATCCCGAAGGAGAAGGCGGTTTGGCTCATTTCCTCGGCAAGTACTAAAACTTTACATGTTTGTTTTTAGGGGGAGCTCTTGTATCCTGATTTGTCGTCATGTGTTAATTTCCTCGGCAAGTACTAAAACTTTACATGTTTGTTTTTAGGGGGAGCTCTTGTATCTTGATTTGTCGTCATGTGTTATATTAGCAGATTTCCAATTTACAGCGGTTGTACATTGTACGAAATTCCATCCCATCTTTTGTGTCCCTTGCAGTTATCCTTTTAACAAATGGTTGGAAACTCGTTTTCAGATTACGGTAAATCATTTTGAGTAGCTTCTAATCGGTTCAACAACGTAGACTTCTTTTGAACGAAGACCGCGTCAGCCCTGTTGATTTTCTTGCCATTGGTCCCAGGAGGCCATGGTAAATTATAGGTGTCCTACCAGAAATAGATGCGAGAATTATTAGATGGGGAAGAGTTTTGGAAGGGTTTGTATGAGGAAGTGGTTACCATCCGGTGAACATAACGGGCCGCGGTAGACCATGTCAAGAAGTAGTGAATCGGTCCCACGCAGCTAGATTTTAACCTACAGTGAATCGAGAAAAGGCACAGGAGTTCT